AGATGATGGATGAGGTGATAAATGTTTGGATGTGTGGCCAGCTTAACAAATAGGATGGTGAATAGTTCAGCGAAGTGTGCTGTTGTAGTCCCATTATAAAAAAATATATTTTCGTATTAAACCTAACTACACCTCATAACATTCAAATATTTTTATTTTCAATCAGTAATCTTGTATATGAAGTTGACTGCCTTAGTTATGGATTAAGCATTACATTTTTACTAAATTATTTGCTTCTCACAATTGCATTGCTTGGTTTGCCTTCTTTAAACATAATGGAAGAGATATTATCTTTTTCCATTTCCATGTTTTCAGCCATCGTTGTTATCTCCTGGTTATTTCAACCATTTTCACATAACATTGTACATATTTTATAACAACTTTGAATAATTCTATTATTATTATTAAAAACAGTGTTCATCCATTTTATCGTAGAACAATGATCCAAAAACAATTGAAGGACCGTTCACTCAACTGGCTAAAACAAGTCATTAAAATATATGGGGTATAATAATAGTCTTTATTTGATTGTATACACATATATACCATAGCATTCAATGTAATAAATCTCAATTCACAACATAAATAACTTGACAAAGAAAATGAGAAACAGAATACAAACAGTACACACACAAAAAAAAGATCCATCAACATAAACTGAACCATCATATCACTGCTAAACACAACCCAAAGGAGCTTTGGTGCTACACTGCAAGAATACTGAGGTTTCGAACTAACTCAATCATGAGTTCCCTGAGCTCTGCTCTTTAACTGGCTTTCATCTGTTCTTCAGACGATCAACGCAATGCAAAGAATGACTGACATAACGTTATATTTGTAAATGAGATGAACACAATGAGAACAGTAAACAGTAAAAATAAACCATCAAATGTCTTCCAGAAGTCCAGAAAAGCTCAGACAAGATACAAACTGTGAATATCATTCCTTAAATGAGAGAACTTATGCAGAAAATACAAACAGTCTGAGCAGGTGGCGTAATCAAGTAAGGCTCTTTTTCAGAGACAGGAAGCATGTGTCGAATGCTAAATGAGGATAACAACTGGTCTCTGGGGAGGAGAATACAGCGAGTGTGACATCATTAAATCAATCATCTGCTCTTAAATGGGACATTATATACAGGAGCATCCAAACTATATATAATATGAGATTATACTGATGTTTGCTTACCAATATCAAGGCATACGTATCTTTGGTCTTTTGTCAGTTAAATTCCTCATCAAGAGTGTCATCCACACTTCCAGAAATTGAGGCA